AATGGGCTTCCTACAGTTCTCCGTGGCGCTCCAGGCACTTCCTCCAGTGGCCGAGGGTGGCGCCTGGTTGCCAGGCAGGCGGTGGAGGAAGACCTCTCAGCAGAGCATCCCAAGAGGACACACGCCAGCGCGGAATCCAGGAACTGGCAGGAAGGACTCTCGGGGACGCGGTGAATGCTGGGTCCTGAGTGCTGGGAGCGGCGGCCCCTTGGGCAACGTAGGCGTGCAGATGACTCTGAATCTGTAAAACTCCCGGAGAGCGCTTTATCTACCAGAAGCCAACCCCACTGACCCTGGGACCTGGACGACCCTAAAGACGGCTACTGTGCAAGGGAGCCAGTCCCAGGGCACCAACCGGAAAGAGGTCCGTCCACAGCCTCCCTTCTCTTCTTCACGCCGTACTCACCCCTCCCTCCAGAGTCCCAAAGGAGACCCTAGTGCCCACTGCAGCCCTGCTGAGCATCAGCGGGGGCTCGGGGAGGTGGCCGTCTGTCCGCATCGCTGCTGGGTTGCACATGGATCCTCCGCTGTTAATCAAACCCAGTTCAGAAAGCAACTCCAGCTTGCTTCTTGTTCTGGTATGAAATGTGCAAAGCGCAGACCATATCATTAACATAAAACTTCCAGAAATAAGGCCACTTTCCAGACAGACTGTATTAATTGCATCAGGCCTTTGCAGCGAGGGTGGTCTAATCCACGGCCTCCCATTGGACGGCTCCGGTTATAAAACCGACACAGAAGGAACGCTGGGATATAATTGAAGGAGGAGAAAACGATAGATTCTACTGTTCAACCCTACTATTTACTTACAGGTATTCTTTTATCTTTATTGTCCCTTTAACCCATGCCAAGAAACCCCAGACTAGTTAAATAACACAGCAAGCACAATTTCAGTAGAAAAGTAAATTGAATTTAACTTTACAAGATTGCCCTGTGATTTCAGCATATACTAATGACTGCAACTGACTCCCTCTATTAAATCCAAACACTTCCACTTCCCCGAGCCGGGATCCTGTGTGTTCTTGCATGAGACCTTGAACTTCTCCAAGCGCATGTATTAATCACTGTGGCTGATGACCATTTGCAGCCTTTAAATATGCAATGAAGTGTCTGCGTTCCTTTTTCGCCTCCTAATGCTGGTGCATGATCTGCGGCAGCCAAGGCGCTCAATACCTTTAAGTGTGATGCCAGGCACGCAGCTTGAGAGGACCTCCGCACAGTGCCAGGCACCCAGCACTGCCAAGTAGGAAGCCCTTCTGCTCCTGTGGGTCCGCTCAGCACAAGGCACTGTTCTCACACTCAGCACCTGGCCTATGTGACCCCAGGCAATCCTAGGATCAACCCCAGGAGCTAATATTACCCCCAATTCACAGATGGGGAAATGGAGGAAAGGAGAAGGACCATGGCCCATCTGAGGCCACCCAGTTCACACTGCACCCCCCAGAAATCTGATACGCTCTGATGACCACCTTCCAATCACAGAAACCTCAGAACAGAGAAGTGCTGGGGGGAAGGGGAAGCCCAGCAATCTTCAGTGGCCTCCTGAGTCCTGGGGAGGAGACTATAGTGGTCAGTCCCCCTGGACCTTTCCAGGAGCCATTTCTGAGGGGCTTGCTCTTACTTCCCACCCTCTGCCCCCATATCCATCGTGGAACCCCCACCAAGCCCCATGCAGCCCCCAGTGATCTGCTTCAGAGAACAACATGAAAATGTCTATGTGAATGTATATATGTGTGTGGGGGGGGGGGGTATTTAAAAAAAAAACAAGGCTCAAAGAGGAGCAATGACATCTTCAAGTCCACTGACCAGACAGGACCACAGGTGCCCCGCAGCCTTCACTTGGAATTTCTCAGGGAAGGTTTTTGAGCCCCAGCAGGGCCTCAGCTCAGAGCCCCACATTACAACAGCAGAGTCCACAGGAAACAGGCCCAGAGTCCCTGCTTCCCACTGCGACCACCGTAGGAGGCCCAGAGTGGGGGACAGAGCTTCTGGGACACTGGGATGGAGGTGAACCACACCTGTACGCTTCCCCCCACAGACTCACACCTTCTATAAATAACCGAGAGTGCATTTACAGCACACAGTTAACCTGTGTACGACACATTTGCACAGGGGCTTGCCCTATTGATTTCAAGAGATGGGTTCAACGCATCCTCATCCAAAAAGGGACAAAACAAAGTGAGAACGGCAGCCCCGCTCCATTGGTACAGCGGACTGCTTCCTCCTAACCGTTACTGGGAATTGAACGACTCCCTTCCAGCTACTAATTAAACAGGCACTAAAAACACTTCAACAGCCCAGTCACAGGGACAGAAACCACAAAGGGACAAGAACCACTGGAATGGGATATTTTCAGGTATTGAAATTGATCAGCAAATATGACAGTCCTCTCTGGTGCAGGCTAATATGACAGTCCACTCTGGTGCAGGCTAATATGACGACAGTCCACTCTGGTGCAGGCTAATATGACAGTCCACTCTGGTGCAGGCTAATAAGCAGAGACCAAAAGAAGAACGAGAAAAGCATAGAGTGTGGAGCAGAGGGTGGGAAGCTAGAGCAGGCCCCTCAGGGGTGGCTCCCGAAACGCCCAGGAGCTGACCACTGTGGTCCCAACCCCAGGAACAGTGCCTCACCCTTGCCCACTCTTCTCCCCAAGCATGGCATTGCTCACAGGCCAGAGCCCTGGAACTTCTGAAGCCCTAAAATCCAGAGATACGCCCAGGCCACTGACGAGGCGGGTGCTGGACAGGGGCGACTTCCTCGCTGCCTGCTCTCCCACCTTCCCACCACTCTTACTTCAGGTTCTCACCCCATACCTTCTTCCCCGCAGCAGAATACAAGCTGCAGGCGGGCAGGAGCCCACACTCTATTTGCAGGGTGCCTAAAAGCAGGTGCCCAAGAGATGGCTTCTGGCTGAAGAATGAGCGGGTGCATATGAGCCGTGAGACCACCACGTCTCCAAGGCTCATCCATAAAGTGGGGGAGTAAAGTGTGAGCCTGCTGTGAGGACTGCGTTCAAGAACGCACGCAAATGTCTGGTGTCAGGCAGTGCCCACGCTAGGCATGGCCCTTATCAGGAGCCCAGTAGAGTATGTGGGGACAGATGATGGCAGAGTTCACAGGGAGTCAGGCCGGGCAAACCTCGCTCATCCTCCACTGCACAGAGGCAGAGGCAGTGTGGCTCCCTGGGAAGAGAGGTGGCCTGCTCAGGAGGCCTCCCAGAGACAAATCCCAGTCCTGCAGCCTTGGCCCAGCCACATGCCCTCCCAGACTTTGCCCCCACCTCCACCCCCATCTGCACAACTGGACTGCAGTGGCTCCTGCCTGGCACTCCACAAAGCTGCCAGGAGAGCCCACCCTGTCAGGGAGGTGCCCGGTCCCGTGGCTAACTCTCCTCCACTCTGGCAGCTTCTAAGGAGGGCCGGAGCCAACAGAGGGTTAAGCAAACTCGGGTGCGCCTCTGGCGAGGAGATCGTGTTTCTACATGCAGAACTTGACCGAGTCCGGTCGTAAACACTCAAGCTGATCTTTGATAGCGTGGCCCCCCCAGTGGCTGCAGGGCTGCAGGGCTGCTGCACTAATTACAGGAAGCCATGAGAGTGGGGCAGCCACCCAGACAGAGCAGACAACCCTCGCTGGGCAAAAAGGTCCTCCCCAGACTCACAGAGCAATCGACAACCAAGCCAGTACAGGAGCCCCAACCACCCTGGGGAACAAGCAGCCCCAGACAGGCAGCCAGCTTCTTTACAAGTAGTTCCAACTCCTTCCCGGGTGATTCTGATCTTTGAGCATTTAAGGCACAAGCCCAATAAAAAACCAGAACTTCCCCCTGGAAGCCAGATCCTATGATGTCATCACCCGTCACAGCAGGGTGGCACTGAAGGCTGCGGGCCACCCCACCAGCAGGAAGGCCAGGAGTTCCTGCCCTGGAGCAGAGGCTAGCAGGGGCCATTTGCAAAGTTCATGCTCCACCAAGGACTGTCCCTTGGGACAGCATCAATGAAAAGCAAAACCTGCTCAATACAAAGTCTTCCTTTGACATCTTGAGTCAAGAGAAAGCCTGCAGTGTGCCTGGTGACGGGGCAGGAACAAATTGAATCTGCCCCAGCTCTGCAGCCACCCTCTCCTTTCCAGCCCCTGCCACGGAAACCAGGCCACAGCCATGGCCACGTGAGTCTGTGTCAGCATCCTGGCTCACGCAGCTATCGCGCACTGCACACCAGGCCTGCTAGAGCTGCAGTGAGCGCCCTCCGCCCGCGAGCTTCTGGGGAACCCAGGCCACAGGACTTTGGGTTCTCTTTGGGGAGAGAGTGGGGAGGAGGCGGAGGCCGAGCGTCGCCTTGCTGCCCTGCCTGCCCGTCTGCGTTATGGGCAGCCACATGGCCTCCCAGGGGAGCAGGGGGAGCGGGGGCAAGCACAGATGTGAAGAAGGTCTGGGGTCCGCCCAGAGCCAGGCCCCTGTCCCTGCCCACACCCGCCCCCAGAATGTTTCACTCCCTCCCGTGGCCACAGATTTTTAAAAGGCTCCTTTTGAGCAACTTTTTTTTTCCCTCTAAGTTAATGGGCAACACATTGTCCCAAAGAGAAATTCAGCATTTCAGATGGCTCCGGCGATGCACACAGACAACCAAGGAATCTCCCGGCCTCGTCAGGGCGGCAGGGGGGCGGGGGAGCAGAGGCAGGGGCAGAAGAAAACCTCAGATGTTAAGCGTTATCCAATTAAGCTTTAGCTAAACAGCCCAAAGAGATGAAATTTGGAGGCTGGGCAATGCATTCTGGGAGTGGGGGGAACAGGGGTGGAGGGACCTCCTGACCCATGGGGACCAGTCACGGGTTTACAGTTCTGTGGACATCCTTCACCGCTTCCCAGAGCACCCCAAAAATGCCTTTTGGGTGAGGGTTGCTCTTCCTCCCTGGGTCCCACCTTAGGTCCCCTGCTCTGCCCGGGCACACCCCGCCATCCCCGGGAGCCCACCCCCCCATCGCGGCGGCCTCGTTACCTGACAACTGACACTGGCATCCAAAGGGAGCCTCCGTCTGACCCTCACCCTGAGTCCCGTCGCCCGAGACCGGGCGTGCGCTGCAGCAGGGCAGCGGGAAGCAGGGCGGGAGAGCGCCCAGGGCGCGCAGAGGTGGAGTGATCACGGATGTGTGAGGGTGGGAGGAGGCAGCTATGGGGGCCATCGCTGGCAGCTGGGCAGGCCTGCACGGCCCTGGAGAAAAAACAATAGAAAAGACCGGTCAGTCGGGCCCTGGACTGCACAAGGGGCTTAGGGCATGGGAGGGGGCCCGGGGTGCAGGGCTGCAGCCAGCCTTCAAGGGCCGGAGGCCCCAGGGGTGCCAGGCCCTGCAGGGAGGGTGACCAGGGCACAGGGAGGGGAGAGGGGGTCAGGGAAGTGGGCAGGGGGCACTGGAGAGAGTCCTGTATCCACAGCTGCCAGGTCTAGGGACTGACACCCCACTTCTGGGGGCCTTGTGTAGGGGGCTAAGGCACATAGGGACTGTCAGGGCCCCACTCCCAGGAAAGACCCTTCCAGGAAGGGTCTTCTGTAGCAAACTGGAGCAGGCTCCTATTGGGGATTTCTTCCCCCAAATCTGGGCTACCCCGGGAAGAACTGGGAAGCCCGGAGCCGCCACCGTCTGACACCGCGATGGGCTCTTAGGACAGGCCTGGGCTCCTCAAGTCCACCTCGAAGGGGCTGGGCACTGGGGAGCGAGCTGCCTAGCTAACTACTAGCTGAGGCCTCTCTCCAGTCCCCCGCAAGCAGCACCCAAGCCCGGGTTGCTTCGATTCCCTCCTCCCTCCACCCTCAGGAAAACCTGGCACAGCCCAGACCCCTCTTCATGTCTCAGCCCGGGCTTGGGAGTCCCTGCTTCCCCCACTCGCCACCCCCAGTGTCTGACAGCAACTCGGAGGGCCCGGCCAGGGCCCGCCTCGCCTCCGCCCAGCCCTACAGCTCGCCTGGGCTGCCGGCAAGGCCTGCGTTTGATTTGGCCGTTTATCTTACATGGCTAAGAGACCACCAGGGCAAAACATTTGTGTGAAGCCCTTGCCAAAACCACAAGTGAAGAAGCCCAAATTCCCTGGGTAAATAATTGAGCAGGGAAGCATCAGAGAGACAAAAAGAAAACATCAACGAGATGATGGGCAGCTGAGCCCAGTCGGCTCGCCAGAGAGGCTACAGCACCTCACCTCCCAGCACAGGTCTGCATGAGGGGAATTGGCCCACTCCACAGCCACCATGTGTGACTCCCCCATCCCAGGAAGAGCCACTGGGCTCAGCCACCGACTGCAAACCAGGAACCTGTCTGTCTTCATGTGACTGAGCCTCCTAATATGCCACAGTGGGCATGGACCTAGGACACCCATTGCACAGACCAGGAAACTGAGGCCATGACTCAGAAAGCTGCAGATCCCAGCAACTGACCCCATCAAACCCTGCTGCCTGGCTCTAAAACCAGAGCTCTTTTTTGACATGCTCTGTTTGTCTAAAATGTGAATCCAGGATAAGGGTCTTCGTGGCATGTGAGAAGAACCCCAGCTTGAAGCTTGGGAACTCTGAATATGTCCTGCCAAGAGGCCACAAACAAAGCTAGTGCCAACACTGCCCAGGCCCATGAAGACTTTGCACTAGGCTAGCCCAAGCACCCGGCTGTCTCAGAACTGGCCACAGCCCCAGAAGGGCGTGGCCAAGGAACCCCTGAGCAGTTCCAACCCCAGAGGCTGACAGGAAGGTCAAGCCCCAGATTTAGTGTAGGCACCAAAAAAGGTCTGCATCTGAGGCCAGTGTCACCTGCCTCCTTGCGAAAGTCTGCCCTGGACAGCTCTTGCCTGAACCCCCAGCCTGGAACTGGACATTGTACATCTGACCCTGTCTACTACAGGCCTCTAAGTCCTACATGGAACCTCCCTCAGACCATGGTGGGCTCTGGACCCTCTGTGGCCCTGACAGTGGCTTTGTGCTGAGTATACCCTAACCACCTGTTCAGCAAGTGGGAATACGTGGGGCCTGAGGCTTGGGGAGCTCTGGACCATGAGTCCAGCTATATCTTCTGTTTCCCTCTCTGGCTGCAGTTGGGATGGAGGGACCAGGACACCTGGTATCCTGAGAGCAAGGGACGTGCTGGGCAGGGAAGCCTAAGAGTCCTTGACCTCAATCCAGCCATCAATAGCTGTAAAGAGCCAAGTCCAGACTCTGGCTCCTGGGCTCTGGGCAAGACGGCAACACAGCCAGCAGCACTGACCCCAGCTGTGCAGCACCTCGCAGCCTGGGAGTCAGCTGTCCCAGATAACACCCACCTGACTCCATTCCCCTGACGAGCAGAAGAGCCAAGGAGCAGGAAGCAAAGGGCAGCAGTGGGCTAGACCAGAGTCTGTCAGCGCAGGTCACATACCATAACACAATGCTCTGCACGGGGTTGGGGCTGCACCCCAGGGCCTCCTTAGGAATGCTGACCACACTGAAGTCCCCTGCTTCAGGAGTGGCTCAGAAGAAGCAAAAGAGCGGGCTGCAGAGTGAGGGCCTCTGGGACTCTTAGGCTACCCTCTGCCATGCAGGAGGATGTCCCTGGGGGCAGCTTAGACTGCAACTCTCCCCAAAGGTGGGATTCAAGAAGCCCCCTCTGCAGCTACAGCACAAGTTAAGTGATGCAAGAAACCATCCATCATATGATTCCATGGATAGGAAACATCCAGAACAGGCAAATGAATGGAGACGGAAGGTCCAGGTTGCCGGGGGCTGGGAGCTAATGGGTGCAGGGTTTCTGTGTAGGAGTATAAATTAGATTATCTGCAATCAGACAGTGGTAACGGCTGCACACACTGTAAATATAATCAAAACCACTGACAGACAAAATGGTGAATTCTACATTTAGAGAATCTTAAAAAAAAAAAAAATCAAAGGTGAGGCCATTGTCTCTAGGCCTCAATACCTGTCCCAGGCCACCTCCCAGCCCTGCCCTTCCACAGGGAGGAGTGTTTGCCTTTAAAAGTGCAGCCAGGAAATCTGGAGTTGTGGGTAAAGAGCACCTCAGCGCAGCGGCCTGGGGGTGGGCCAGGAGAGAGCCTGGGTTCACATCCTTCCTCTGCCATCCCCTGGCCACGTGACCTAAGGTGATCACTTTCTCAGAGCCTCAGCTTCCTCATTTTGAAAGGGTCAGGACAACATGAACCAAAATTAGACATCTGGTAAACTTAGTCACCGTCTTAGTGACCACTAAATGATCAGATCCCTTTCTAGTTTTCCATTTTGGAACTTTCCCTACTCCCAAGGGTGTTTCTCACAGCACTGGAGCTGCCTGGTGGAGGGAGCCTACAAAGACCTGCAAGTCACTGTTTTAAAAAGAAAGCCTTCAGGGGCTGGAGGTGTGGCTCAGGGATAGTGGGCCTGCCCAGCAACCTGGAAGCCCTGGAGTCCATCCCCAGCATTACGAGAGTAAATAAAAATGTAAAATGATTTCTTTTGCAGTCCATGGGTCCCGTTTGGAATCTGAACAGACCTCCATGCACCTAGGGATGCCAAGCCACCATCTCAGTTTTAAGTTGGATCCAGGGGGCTTATAAATAAAATCGTGGCTGGCTTGATTTATTTTTAAATCATGGAAGTTCACTTTAATTAAGGAAAAATAAATAAACGATTAATACCTGAGTTATCTCAAGCAAGCCCAGAGCCTTCCTATGGGGTAGCATATCCCACTCTCACAAAAGAGGAAACTGAGGCTGGGAAAGACTGAAGAAGCCGCCCAGACGCACTGGGCTTAGGAAGGCCAGAAACTGCCACCCGGCTCTCTGTATCTGGTACAAAAAGATAACCCAAAAAGTCTCCCTAAAATGCTTCCGAAGCTCCAGCATCATCGGGCGCGAGCTCATTTCAATGCCTTCCCGGCCCGAAGCATTCCGAGGGGTCTGCAGCCCTCCTCCCTCCCGGGGCCCTGCAGATGCTCCGCTCCAAGCCTCACACATGCGCACTAGCGGCGACACGCCCACCTTGAGCGTGCAGACACAAAACGCCTGGAAACGCCCCACCCCGGCGAGAGGGGAGCCAGCCCGGCCCAGCGCCGCGTCCCGTGGCAGCAGCCGCTCCGGGATGGCAGGACTGCAGATGCCGCGTCCCCAGCCAGAGAGGTGGCCCGGAATACACTGCGCGGGAGAGGTCTATTTTTCTCCCTACTGGTGCCTTTCAACGGATACAGTTTTTTAAGGCGAGAACTCCTACTGATAGTGCAGAAATGAGTCATAGATCAGCAAAGGAGACAGACAGGGAGCCAGGCATGTGAGCGAGGGACACTGGCAAGGGAACCTGACAGTCCCAGCGCCCCCTCCCCCCATGCCAAGACATTAATTCTCACAAGTCGGAGAAAATTACTATGCATGAATGCAAAAAGCATGATCAGGAGTAATTAACATGGCTTCATATGCAAATTTTATTAATGCAGAAGTACAAAGTCATTATGCAAATGAAACTTACGTCAACTCTCTTGACAAATATTCATCTCTGAGGCTCAAGTTTCTCCCTTTTTATTTATTTATTTAATTTTCTCTCTCTTCCCTCCCCCTTTTTTCCCTAGGTTTTTTTTTTTTTTTGGGGGGGGGGAGGGTAAGAGGGAAGGGTGGAGGCGCTGGTGGCCGCTAAGGCGGCAACAAGCCACAGGACTGTATGATAAGTTTGCAAAGTTGTTTTTCAACCAGAAAAATTTATTCTTGCATTGTTGATTTTTTTTTTTTTTTTTTTTTTTTTTTTTTTTTTTGGTGTGGTTGTTGGCAGGTACAAGTCAGCTCATAGGAGAAGGAGAAAATTTTAAAAAAAAAAAAAAAAGCTCTGGGCAGCAGGCAGCCAATCAAAACGCCAGAGCCTGTAATGAGGGCGATTGATGGCTGTTTGGCTTTTACTGCAGGGTAATGAACTAGAATCCAGTCTGAGGAGGGGGGAAAATATGAATATTCATGAGACTGTGCTCCTGCCTTTGATGATTAAAGAAATTTTTAATATTCAAATAAGCGCTTGCCAAGTGATTAACAAAGAACAAGCACGCAGAAATATGGAAATGGGAGCCGGGAAAGATTTGAGAGGCGAACATACTGTGCTGGAAAGGCAGCCCCAAATTTCATAAACAAGATAGGCAGATAACCCAATTCACACGCGGGCAAATAAAAACATTTCTTCCTGATCACTTAAATATTTTGCCAGCTACTTTGTCTTAAAGATGATAAAAA